TATGTGTATGTATATATATACATATATATATGTACATATATATGTATATATGTACATATATGTATATATATGTGTATATATGTACATGTATATATGTACATATATATGTATATATGTACATGTATATATATATAAACATGGATTCCTTTGATGTTTTTTGAAAGGGTATAGTCATTTGGTATTTCGAATGTGCTCCAGGAATTTTATTTGCCAGCCTTTTTATTAAATAAATTTATCATATGGGGAAAAAAAATATGTGAATCTGGCACTAAATTGAATTCCATCTAATTCAGTATTTGTCATTCGTTATAGATTTTGAAAGGCACGGATTATTTGAAGTTACATTCAAGTGAAATTAATATCAAAAAAGCTCAGCTTACACTAAGTGATGGATCAGGCAAGTTTTTTCTGTCCTGACCTTAATAAGAAGTGCTGTATTGAAAGCTTTTACCATTAATGTGTACATATATAAACATATAAATATATATCCATTGCTTAGAATAGTAAAGGTTTGAAAAGGAGAAATTATCGGTTTCGAATACCAGCTTTCGAAACTTTCGAATCTTTTTGAACAAAATATCAGTAATTACAATGGCTTTATGTCTTGATTTAATCGAACTATTTTTTATTTGGAGGATTTAATTTTACTTTTTGCAAGGTCTTTGCTTTCAGTGTTACAAGATCTCGGCATAGAATATGATAAAAAATGGACAACTGTAACGCTGAAATTGCCGAAGCATATTTCCCCTCAAAAAGCAAAAGTTTCTTTGGACTTTGTGGGTGAATTGAATGAAAAAATGCGAGGTTTCTATCGATCATCCTACAAAGATGCCGATGGAAGGGAATGTTATTTAGTTGCCACACAATTTGAAGTTAGCTTTCTTCAATTACATATTGTTGAATAGTTCAATAACTTCTGCCTGTATGCATCCCATCAAGTTTCAAATCCTACCAACCAAAGTCTACACATTCAGTTCGGTTAGGAACTTTCCCATCACTTGCAGTGCTGTTGTTTTCTGATTTTTTTTCACGCTTGTGATTTCAGAGCACTTATGCTAGGCTTGCATTTCCTTGCTGGGACGAACCTATCTATAAAGCAAAGTTCGATGTTACACTTATAGTGGATGAAGGACTTACAGCACTTTCGAATATGGTGACCATTATTTCCATTTTAATGTGTTTTTAGAACTTGATTTTGTTTTAAAAAAGTATTGAAATTTATTCCGCAGTCAGCTTGAAAATTTTGGGCGTTTACAGTTCTCTGAATGGATTAACAGATTACAATTTCATGATTTCCAATATTTCCGAGATTTTAAAAATGGAAGTAAAATAACTGATAAACGATAGCGAAACTCTGTCACTTCGGGGACTTTATCGGGGTGAATATGTTGATAACTGCATTCGCATATCATTATAAATTGGTTCATATTCATAGTTTGTGGGACCTTAGAAATTGTATCCTCTTGATTTCGACAGTCCAACGAGATTTTGCGAGTACTTTATTCATGTAATTTACACTTATAAACTGCAGAATGTTATAAGCGAAACAAAGGTAGACAATAAAAAGGTGGTGAAATTCGCAACTACTCCATTAATGTCAACATATCTTGTTGCGTTTGCTGTCGGTCAGCTG